AGCTCCAAGTCGGGGCTACATGCTCTGTCTCTGACAGTGATGTTGCAGCACCAACTGTCCTTCACATAAATGCAAACCCCACCACCCTTGATTTACCAGAGTCAGCGTTTCTGTCCAGACAGATACTACACTGCTAATTAAAAGGTTTGGTTCATAGCATTTGGAGCTCACAAAATATCACATAAACATAAGTGAAATTTACTGTACCAACAATTTGGATCGCAGCAAAATCCATCCATCCGTCCGTCCGTCCGTCAGTCGGTCACGGGGGCAGCAGCTTCAGAAGGGAGGCCCAGACTTCCCCCTCCCCAGCCACTTGTTCCAACTCCAAACATGCCACAATTAAATAAATCAAAATATCCCAAAAGCATCAGATGACTGGCATAGGGGCTACCGAGAGACTCCAGCTAGATTCCAGCACAGAGATTCGCAGCGCAGCAGCTTGCTCTTCATGCAGGGCTGGCCCAAGGTAATATGGGGCCTTAGACAGAATCATGACTTAGGCTCCATGATCCCCTCCTACTAAGAACCCACAGACTTTATTTGAAGTCTGTGACAGGTAGTCCAGATTAATTGGCTGAGCTTAAACTCAACCACTGATTATTGGTTATTGTTTGCTGTGATGTATTTGTGAACAAACCCAGCTCAAACACAAAGATTACGCCACACTGTAGCCATGGTAACACAAGAATCAAACTGTAAAGATGATTCTTTGCACTTTTACAAAGTAAACTTCCTAATTAAATCCTAGATGTACTATTTGTGTTTTGATTTTTTCACCACTGAATGCATTAAAAAAATTTAATATCATTCTCAATAAATGAATCCTACAGGTTTAGATCTATGATCTGTGTTACAATTCACCCATCCACAGGGGCCCTTGAATGTCTAGAGGGCCCTACCAGCAGCTACTGAGTTTTATTTGCCTTGATATCTGTCTTACAATTCCAGATCTCTCATAGGAGCTAATGCCAAAAAATTATGTAGAGTTAACCCCTCTGAGCTTTTTGATCTTTAAAGCAGTCTGCAGCCAAGTTGTTATACAGAGTTTAAGCAGAAGTAATAAGATGCTTCATAGCCAGTGACCTTCTCTCCTATGGTCTGTTTAACAGCTAGTCTCAGATCAACTCAGCCCTCCAGCTCTGTCAGCAGAAGAAACAGCAACATTATAAAACATAGACTATATTTCCTTTGCATTGCCCCCACATCATGACAATGATATAGTATGATCCAATTAAATATTAGATTCTTGATTAATATGGGTTGTTGCCGTGTTGTTGTATGATGTTTTAAGATCTTGTTCAATAAGCCCCTTTTTAACTTTGAGCCCCTGCCCTTCCAAAGGTCTGCACGGCCCAGAGTAAGTACACTATTGTCACAAAAAGTTATTTTAAGATGTTTATAGGCTAGAAAGTAGCCCTCATAGTTTCATCTATGCACATAGTTCATCCAAAATTAGACTTCTTTGAAATATGCTCCAGAGTTTTCAGAGCAGTGTCGCTCCGCTAACGGGGCCAGGCGGCTCCAGGCTCAGCGGATGGATGGAGTATATCTTCCCCACAAACTGCAAACCTATTTCAGCAAGTCACTCTGTTGTTTTCTGCTGCTTGTTATCTGTTCTAAGCGGCTCAAAGTGTGAGATGAAAAGTTCAATCTGTACCAAATTCGTTTGGTACGGAAATAATTTTTAGCCATTTAGCAGATGACACCACCGTTTTCTTAAAATATTACAAACAGGCTCCAATTGTAATTGATAAAATAAAATAATTGTCAGAGGCTTCAGGACTTATGCTAAATCTAAAGAAATGTGAGCTTATAGCCATTCATGACACTTCCCGAAGAGAAATATATAGCATTCCAATTAAATCTGAAATTAAATACTTAGGAACTATTATAGCCAAAAACCAAGAATCAACCTTAACTATTGAAAACAAAATTAAAAATATAAATCCAAACTTAAATTGTGACTCCAACAAGATCTTTCCATTTTAGGACAAATTTACTTATCAAAAATGGAAAGCTCGTCAAGATTAATATATTCAACTTGTAGCACTGCTATCCCAAAAAGCCTAATTAAAACTATCAATCAAATGAACATGAACTTTATTTGTAGAAACAGGCCACACTACCTAAGAAAAGGTCACATGGACAAAGAAATTAGAGATGGCAGTATGAAAGCAATTGACTTCGAGTGTCTTAACAGAACCCTTAAGATTAATTGGTTGAAATCCTGGATCCTGGTATTATGTTCCCAATCATATATTTAACAAAACATGGGGTCTAAAACTTGTACTTCTGGCTTATTTCAATATACATAAATTACCCATTAAGCTATCAGAGTTCCATAAACAGTTGTTACTATGATGGAAAATGTTCTATGTACATAACTACTCACCACACTGCTCTATTATATGGAATAACAGTCATATTACATCACAATAAGTCATTATTTTATAAAGAACGGATGGAGAAGAACATTTGGTCTGTTGTACACTTAATGGATGCTAATGGTTGCATGTTAAAGTTTGAACAATTCTGTGCAAAATATAAATTCCTTTCCCCAAAAATTGAATTTACCAGATTATTTGGTGCATTCATTCAATTCTGATGACAAAAAATTCAATAACTACTAGGGNTGCANCGATTGCAGCTTTCTNGCTGATCGCCAATCTTTTAAAAAGCAATTCTGCAAATTCCAATTTTGGCCAATACAATTTTTTTATCTGAAATGTTGCCCAAATTCCAAGAAAGTTGTTGAATTGGCAACAGTGGGGTCACTATTGTAAACTGTAAGCATGCAGACATGATCTGAGGGGCTGGTTTATCAGTCAAACCTGTCTCACAGGATAGCAGGAAAAGTGGCAGATTTTAAGACCATTGCTGAGGCAGATAAAATTGGTGGGTAAAATCGGCTTCACACGTAAAAATCCATTGATTTCCCAAAATTAAAGAAATTGGCACCAATAAATCGGTGCATCCCTAATAACTACACAATTAGAAGATGTCTAAACAAAACTTTATTCCCTGGGAAAATAAATAAAAATAACATTGTTTGCAAATTTAAATAAAGAACTCTTTATTTAAAACTCCTCATACAACCAAAGGCTAAAGAAACACACTTTCAAATTTTAAATGCAATTTACCGCTCCAAAGAGCTACTAAGAAATCACTATAATACTGATGACAATAAATGCTCATTCTGTGAAAGTGACATAGAAACAATAGACCAGATCTTCTATAAATGCAATCAAATCAAAATATTTTGGAATTGCTTAGAAAAGTGGATCAAACCAAAAATTGCACTTACTGAATCTATTTCTGGAGATATGGTAATTTGTGGAGTGTTATTAAAAAACAAAACAATAATATAATCTGATATTTTGTCTGGCAAAATGTTTTATTCTTAAACAAAAAGTTCTAAGATCGTCCCCAGGTTTTGACATTTTTTAAATCTGAATTCCAGTTATATTTGAAATCTCTGAAATGTATTGAAACATATGAATACCTGACTGAAAAATGTATGGAATTGTCCACCAATGCATGTTAACACTAAAATATGAATCCCCTTGTTGTAGTTTATTTTTTAGGCATTTGTTTTCCTTTTTCCAAGTCTACCTCTAATAAAAAAAAAAAAAAAAAAAACCTCCACAAAACCAGACTGTTCCAATGCCAGATTAGCAGAATTTTGTCACAAAAATGGTCATGGCATCTTTATTTCTTACTTGATTTCTATAAAATATGGCTTAAGGTAAAGTTGAGAATATTGCTGATGTTTTGACATGTAGGGTATGTATTCTCCTAGATATAAATCTATAAACAGTTTTGTTTATAGATGTGGTCAAGATGCAAGAGAGGACTAAGCCAATTTCTCTTTAATATTGGTTAATAATTTAATATAGATTAGTTTGTTAAAATTTAACAAACCATGGCTCCTATACTTTATGAAATATTTGATCCTTTTTGATGATTGTTATGGATATCGCCACATTCTACAAACAAACGAGGCAATTAGTCCAGTTTTTGTCGTTTATTAAAGGTTTAAAAGTGACAGTGGTTTCAGTGCGCCACAGCAAAGGGATAACGGTTGTAAAACAACTTTAAACCATTTATATTTTGCTTTTCCTCACTCTCTGTGTCAGCTTTACTCTACACACAGACCTGTTGCCATGGCAAGAGACACAAAACCTCATCTAAACCCACAGAGCAGAGTTTTCTGCTCCGGTCTCCCATCCACTTGCAGCTGAAGCCAGATCTTCAGTTGAAGGTCTGGGTTCACTCAACTGAACCCAGACCGAGGTTTTTAGGAAGACCAGTGTTCACTTTTTAAGTCTGGATTAGAGTTTGATTGCGCGTTCACACCTCCCCAAATGAATCGGACTTTCTAGATGAATGGTCACACTAGACACAAGAAAGAACAAACTAATTAAACTAGACTCATGAGAAGAACTGAGCTAAAGAAACACAGAAACAAGGCTGATTTAATCAAAAACACTAAGGTACACAGAATAATAATGAAACTAGAAATCAATCAATCAAAACCCCAAAACAACTCAAAATGCATTGTTCATTAAGTAAAGTTCAACTCTGCTTAATCTAATGAAAAAGGGCCATCCTAGTGAGTCCTAAAGTTCATCCTACCTGCTGCATTAACTTGTTACATGAGATTCATCACAAAAAATGGCTTAATGAACATGTTGCTTAATGTATTTGGATACCTGTACTATGCTACGTTGTGTTTGAATGATTATTTTCTTCATATATTTATCAGCCACTGCTTAGCCTTTCTTTCCCCTGTTTGCCATCTCCCTTTTAGAGATTGGGGTTTTGTCAACATCTACAACAACCTTAAAAGGCTAGCATCCAGTTATACTATGTTACATATTTACATGCCGGTGCACATTTTCTGCTCTACCAATATCATTTCGGTTTGTTCTTGGTTATTCACAACCCCAGCATTACAAAAAAAGTTCATGCAAAAACTTTGAAACATATACTCAATGCTTTTTCTGAATCTTTTAATCAAAACATATAAACAAGTTTCCAATTGAAAATTAAAATTTGCAACAACAAAAAAAAACTTGGAACTTTAATATACCATATGCATTCTCAAAAAAATGTGTACGCAAGACATACCTTGCTAACTTTATTAGCAAGGTAGCTCTTGGCAAAAGGTTTTACTATTCCCTCAATGTGAATTTTTGATAAGTGGGCTGTGATTTGTAGAACTCAGTGGCAGAAATTATCAGCAAAAAACATGGCATTTGTTTGCTCCGTCATCTGGTTTTAAGCTTTCAAAGTGTGTTGAAGACTATTACTATTTTTTCACTCTTCATGTACTGTTTAACATTTCAGAGGTTTTATTGATTTGAGCATGTTGGAAGATGTCACTCATATTTCCTGTGACTAAACCTATAAAACATTTTCCATTTAGAAATGTTACCTTTATAAACTTTGAAGGTTTCCTTTAAAATAATTTTAAAAGCCTTACATACTGTTCAACAAGGCAAGCTTTAGAACTTGCCAGATAACCAAAATAAGACACAAATTATTGTTTATGAAAACTAGACTATTCTTAAGAACTTTTAAGTCTGGTTACATTGTCATAAAAGAGTATGGCTCAGTGATTAAGTAATTTCATGCAATCTGTCTCAAGGTTAGGTTACACAACTGCAGAAAGATTCTTGCAGAAGAAACATTTTCCTGATGTAAGATATTCAGTTTTCAGCTCTAGTAGTTTTGTCTCTTCCTAATTTTCCGGCTTAAACATTTTGCTGACAGTTATTAAGTAAATAAAACACCTTAAATAAAAAAAGTTACAGGTAATTATAGTAAGAGAAATTCTGAAAGTTTAAGTGATTTCTGATACAATACTTGCTTTTTAATTTTTATTATGCTATCTAGCAACACAAAGCCAATTTTGACATGTTAATTCATTCAAACAAAAATGATGTCATACAAATCTTCCACATCATTTACTACCAGCAATCAGGATTTTGAGTACACACATTGCTGTGCAGAAATTCTAGAAAGGGTTATGTACACAGCTCACATTTAGAATCTTTTAAGTCTTAATAGGACTGGTTAAATGTTGCAAAAACATCCTGTCCATCTGAAAATGAAATATTCTTACATACAGCTCTTTAAGTAACCATTTCCAGTTAACTAAACTCAAACACATATAGATAATATCTCACAACTGATAACATATATGAGCTGCAAGTTGGTCATTTTATCACATACCAAGTTTTTGTATAATTCAAAACATTTATTTTGCACTCGTTTTTCTTGCTTAGGTTAGGTCCACTCACTCTACTTCCTTCTAATGGGAGCTTTTTCATTCTCAGGAGGTCTGTTCACTCAGAGGGAATCTGTGCACTTTCCATGAACGGTACAAGTAATTGAACATTTAAAATGACGAACTAAACCATGTTGTGACAAAAATAAATTTAAGTTAAGTTTTTGCTCTCTTTCCATTTAATTCATCCAGGAAAAATAGCAATAGAGAATGGCAAGATCAAATTGCCTAGGAATCTGAAAACTATTTACTATTTATCACAGAAAACCTTTAAAATAGGCATTGAAAGGTGTAGAGGAATGTGGCTCAGTCCAGTGAAATAATATCCGACAAGCTACCTCCAGTCACTTCTCCAGTGGAACCTCCTGTGACGACTGGTGTACTGTGGATGGAGGTGGCAGTATGACCACTGGCATTGAAGTTGCTGCTGGAGGTAGAGGATACCAAACCAGAGCTAGTGCTGGGTATGCTGTGCAGGCTGCCTGAAAGGTTTTCCAAAAACATTTGGGGCCTGTAATGCTGAACAAAAGAAGAAAAAACAAGTTGAGCTCCCTTAAAATCTCTTTAGCACAGATTTGCAGTCGCACATCTTAAGAATTTCATATGATCCTGAGCTATTAATGTACTAATCATTTAATGCTTCTTCTAGTATCACACCTGTTCAATCATGTTGAAAATGTTCAAGATTTTTTTGGTGAATATTACAAAAATACAATGTAGGTGAATATCTTTCATAATCTGTTCAAGTGGATATCATAATTTTTCTGTTGACTATTTTTCCTGATAAAAATCTTAAAAATAGGGAAGAAATTAAAATTCTACTTTCATTTATATTAATGGATTCTAAAGAGGTTGTTATTACAGCTTAAACATTCAAAAACATAATCAGGTTCAGGAGACAAAACAGAGTAGCACAGTATGAAAAACTGAATTTAGACAGGTGGCTCATCAGATCATTAAGAGTTTAAAACCATTAGTGTTAAGTGACCAAAATAGAAGTGGTGCGTTTTAATAAGTTTATATTCCTTTGAATGTTTATTGTTTGCATTGATGGAATTTTAATTGTAACTTAGCACGTTCAATAAAATACAAAAAATAAATAAATAAATTCTGACTTTCATGTCACTTCGTTTTAGATGTTCTACCTTTCAAAAGCCTAGAGAGTTAAGTCAAAAAGCTTTCTGTGCATTGAAACTGGCAGGTCTGTTGATTTGCACTACAAATACATCCATTTTAATCATGGAAAGGATCCCCAAGCAAAGGGATTTTGAAAAGTAGAAAAAAGTAATATTTGCCGATGTGGGGGAAAAAAAACCCAGACTTGATGGTCCAGATGGTGTTCTACATAACAACGGGGTTTCAGGCTGGGCAAGCTGCAGCTGGTTATATGGGGTTATATGGAGATGTTACAGCAACTGTTCCTCTTGACAGAGGGTCTTTGTTGGTGTGGTGATTACTGCATCTTTCAACAGGACAATGCTGAAGTTCACAATGCATGCCCGTAAAAAGGACTTTCTTGCATATTGTCATCCTTCTTTTGGGCCACCCTGCATGTTCATCTGATGTAAATCCAATTTAAAACATTAAATGATGACTGATGGCCTAATATAATGAGACATGGATCAACATTACCAAACAGCTGATGGGAAATAAAGCTTGTCTAAAAACAAAAATAGTGAACTTCTCTAAACTGAGTCCTTTAAAAAAAAAAAAGGTTTTCATCTAAAAAAAACCTAGCAGATTGTATCGACCTCTCACACCATGGAGAAGTATCGACCCCATGAAGGGGGGGTCGATACCCTCCAGGGATAATCAAAACCCATGGTTAAGGGTTTTGATTATCCCAGTGATCCTAGGACGTATGCTGTCTGGGGCTTCGTGCCTCTGGTAGGATCACCCAAGGTAGACAGGCCCTATGGAAGGAACCAGACAAAGCGCAGCCCGAAGACCCCATTTGATGAGTGAGACTATTAGTTCCAGTGTTCCCTCGCCCAGACGCGAGCTCGCTGCTGGCCGGGCTTTTACCCATGAAGCACAGCCAGGCTCAGCCCGAAGAGGAGACGTGGGTCCCCCCTCCCATGGGATCACCACCTGTGGGAGGGGACAAATGGGTCAGATGAAGGTGGGATGGGTGGTGGCTGAGGGTGGGGACCAATCCCTGGTTGCAGAAACTGGCTCTTAGGACGTGGAATAACGCCTCTCTGGTGGGGAAGGAGCCTGAACTAGTGTGTGAGGTTGAGAGGTTCTGGTTAGAAATAGTCTGTCTCACCTTGACGCATAGCTGATCGACATTTCGTTGGATCTGTGGCCACATGTCTTGGACACTCGGGTGAAAAGAAGTGCAGAGCTGTCTACTAACCACTACCTGGTGGTGAGTTGGCTCCGGTAGTGGGGCAGGATGCTGGTTGACCTGGCAGGTCCAAACGTATTGTGAAGGTCAGCTGGGAACATCTGGCAGAGTCTACTGTGAGATGGAGCTTTAACTCGCATCTCCGGGAGAACTTAGAACACGTTCTGGGGGAATGTGAAGGACACTGAGTCTGAATGGACAATGTTCCGTGCCTCCATTGTCGAGGCGGCTTATTGGAGCTGTGGACTTAAGGTTGTCGTTGCCTGTCGTAGCAGCAATCCTCGAACCCGTTGGTGGACACCTTTGGTGAGGGATGCTGTCAGGGTGAAGGGGTCCTATTGGGCCATTAAGGCCTGTGGGACGCTGAAAGCAGCTGATGGGTACCGGCAGTCCAAACACCAGACGGCCCAGGTGGTTGCTGAGGCAAAAACTCAGACATGGGAGGAGTTTGGAGAGGCCATGGAGAAAGACTTCCACATGACTTCAAGGCAATTCTGGTCCACCATCAGGCATCTCAGGAGGGGAAAGCAGTACAGCACCAACACTGTTTATAGTGGGAATGGTGTGCTGCTGATCTCGACTCGGGACGTTGTGGACCGGTGGGCAGAACACTGAGGTGTTCTGAGGTATTCTGCACCTCAGTGGCAAGGCCCCTGGTGTGGATGAGATTCGCCTTGAGTTCTTTAAGGCTCTGGATATTGTGTTGGATGACACGACTCTACAATATTGCATGGA